GCCAGCTCAGAGAGCCTAGTGAGCACCGCATGGGGGCGCTGGGACCTGGGCGGCTTTCCCTCCACAGGGATGAGGAGAGGATGTGCTCAGTGTAAAAGGCTGGCTGTGCTGAGGCTGACTTTTACTGACAGGCAGAGACAGCAAACTTATTTCCCTGAGCAATGTGTAACTCCACGAGAGCTGCATGTTAGCGGGAATGATGTGGACTCGGCGTGCCAGGATGGGCCAGAGGGAAAAGTGGGAGAGGAGGGAGCCTTACTTGGAGCTGTTGCCCTGGTCTGTCCAGGAGGTGGCTCTAGCCTGAACCAGGGGACAGTAGGGCATTTAGGAAGGAGGAGGATGGCTGAGAAAGATAGGAAGGTGATACCCAAGCCATGAGTCTTGACACGCTCTCACTTCCTTTATGTATCCCCAAAGTATTCATGATCTCCCTTCAAAACCTAGCACCTATTCCTGGCCCTAGCCACCCTTCACCCTTACCATACCTTATTTTCTTCACAGCACTTTTCACCACCTGATGTATGTACTTACGTGGTGGATACAGTTTGTCTGTTTCAACTTCTCTTCAAGCTGTTTGAGGTCAGAGACTTGGTCTGATTAGTTCACTACCGAATCCTTAGTGCCTCCTCAACTCAGTTGCTCAATAAAAATTTAGTGAATACAACTATGATGTTACCAGCATGTAAGCACTTTTGGCCTCTCTAAAGTCAAAGAAGTCCCAATGTAAAATGTACAGCTTTGGAAGATAGTTTCTGAATAGTAGATTGATGTATAATCAGATAGGATGACTTATTGAAGGAAATATCATAGTGAATAACATGGTCTTGTGAGGATCTTTGTGTCACAACCTACAAATCTAATCTCTGTGCTTAGGAAATGGAATATGCTAGCACTGCGCAGAGGGGTGGTACACAGACTCTAGAGCTAGAGTGCAAATCCCGGCTTTGCCACTTCTTGGCTGTGGCATCTCAGGATCCTTTGCACCTCTCTGACATTTCTCAGGTCTCATATATATAAGTGTTTCACTCCTCTTCAATCACAGCCTGATTTCCCCAAATTTAGACACAAGTTGTAACTGTGCTCTGTTATCTATTAAGTAAATTATATAAAAGCAGGTATTTCCAGTATGGGGTCTTTCTTTTTCTTTTTACCTTTCTGACTGATGGTTTGAGACTTCTGTAGGTACAGATTTTAGATTATTTTTTAATACATTGTTTTCCTAAAATACCATATATAACCCAAGATATCTAAGTGAGTTTAATGTAGACTTCTGTCAGCCATGAGATGTAAGAAGCATGATTTTAAAAACCAACCCCAAGGTATCTTTTAAAAGCAAGTAGAATGCTACATATGTAATCTAGAATTGTGCTGCCCAATGTAGTGGCCACTAGTTACACATGGTTATTTACATTTAAATTATTGGACTTATGTAAAATTTGAAAATAGTTCTTCTGTCTCAGGCACACTTAAAGAGCTAGATAGCAACACATGCCTAGTGGCTATTACATTGGATAAGGAAGACATAGAACATTCACATCATTGTAAAGATTTGCACTGGACAGTGCTATTCTACAAACTGGAGAAATTCACCAACTCTATTGTCTTTTTAAAAAATAACCTACTTTCTACATAACTAATGCAAGTTTCCAGGTAAATTTCAACTGAGTTTACAAATATTCTTTTCCAATTCCAAAACATTTTCTTTAGCTATTTTCTTTTTCTCAGCACCAAGCTTTACCATTATTACCTTACAAATCTATTTTGCTTCTCTCTGAATCAGTGGGCTAGAACGTCTGGAAAACAAACCACTCCTGAGTCTCCATCTGCTTTAACCATCCTGAGAAGACAGCTAGTGATGGCACACTTCTCACAAACCTTCCAATGGTAGGGTAGCACGGTGCTTTTGAAAATATGGTGCTTAGAATTCACCTAAAGGCAGTTCTCTGCTCTTTCCCCCCCTCGAACTTACTGAGAGAACAGTTTACACTCATAAACAATGATAAGAAGTTAGTTATTTAGAAGGCCAACACTCGGTAAGTATATGACTATCTACTTAGTTTTGGAGTCAGGATCCAAATTCAGATTGTTTCTAGCCTTGAAAGCTTGGGATTTTCATCCTTGTAGCTCACTGTGATGCTGCTTGTGGATTGTAGGCCACCAATTCAACTGACATACTGAGATCCACAGTGAGTCGCCCTCACCCCCAGCTCCACTATGCCAAGTCAGTGATCAAGGTAGAGAAGGCATGAACCATGTTGAGTTAATAAGCAGTATTTTCCAACACAGAGAATACTTTTAAAAACTGTCTTAGAGTTCATTTAAATGGCTGTTGATCCACTCCCAACAATGTCACTTCTTGGAAGGCATTTGTGCCCTAACACAAGTTGGCTTAGTAGTTAGAAAATACTTGGCATTGCACATAAATTGTTGTATGGGAAAATTTTCTAATTTTGACAGTCTTTTATAAGATTTAAATGTGACTTATATGTTTATAAATATTTTTCAAAAGTCAACTGCTTTCAGATAGCAGTTACCTAAGGAGAGAAAAAGCAAATTGATACAGTATGATAGGTAGTCATTAAAAAGTCAACACTCTCTCTTTATTTACTTTTTTCATTAGAATAAGTGACTTTTATGTGGACAAAGACAAAGAAGAGGAAGCTTGTCTATATTAAATTATCCTTAGAAGAAAATTTGATTTGAAAAACATTACCAAATTGCAGTTACTCAGAAATATTGCTGTTACTCTGAAGTATCTTTCAGAGCTTAGAAATGTTTTATTATATTCATTTGAAATGTTAGCCAGATTAGACTGGTAGGTTTCTTCCAAGAACGTACTCTGTCATTGCTCTAGCAGGTCTTACAAACACTTAGCAATATAACCTAAAGATCCAGTGACAGGATAAGGAAACAAAAAAAAGGGTCACCAGCAAGGAGTTAAAAGGAGCAAACCATGCACACCTCAGTGTGCTGACCACCACACTAGATTCTGCCCAGAATGTCCATTCAAGCCTAGAGAGGTTTAGACTGCAGCACCCTTGACAATAACCATATATTTTCTTAACTAGTCTTGCCTTTTTCCAGGACAAATATCCAAGGCACATGTGGAACTTTATGGGCATAGATAATCATGGGCCTACCATTGGAAAATCAAAATATCAGGAGTCTAGAATCAGTACTCTTGGGGTGACAAAAAAAGATGACCCAAAGCCAGCTTCCCAGGTGCAGTGGAGCTCTTTCTAAGTGTAAATCTATTTTTCCCTCACCTAGCTAGCTTCTCGTCATCTGCAAGGACTGAATCTAGGAGTAGCATGTCTCCTAGCTCATGCATGACTCATTGTGTCATTTAAGTTTGTCAGTCAATGGAAACCAGAAGTCCATAGTTTCTGTCCAGGATGCTCCCTGGGGAAGCTATTAAGAAGAAGGCAGCTTTGCCAGGTGTTTCTGTCCAGCTGTCCTAACTGGCATGTCCAAGGGCATCTGCTTATGCTCAGGGTCTGGCATGAGGAGAGGGGCCTGGAAGAGTGCTCAAAAAAGTTTGCTTTCAGTCTTCCTACAATTTTCTATGGACAACAGGCAGGAGAGGAAACAGACTCAGCTACTTAGAAAGCCACAAGGAAAGCAATAACTACCTTAAAACAAATAAGTAAACAATATTAAACTTTCCCATTGCAATGGGGGCTGTGTTTACTCTTGGCAATAGTGGACTAAATATGGTTTGATAGAAAACACATCACATTTGAGAGCAGAAAATTTGGATTCCAATCCCAACCTGTACTTAGATACAGGAACTTAAATTTTTCAATAACCTGTCTGACACCCATTTTCTTCATCTGCAAAATGGAAAAATCAAAGCTTTTCTTGCTCTGCTTAGCCTATGGGTAGCCATAAAGCATATGAAGCATTTTGTAACCATCACAAAAAATGCCAGCTAGTAATCATTTTTACTACAAAATGTTTATTTCTTACCATAACCTCCCCCTCAAGTTCCAAGCTTCTATTTCCACCTAGTTTGCAAGACTTCCCAAGTGGCTGATAGATGAGGGGAGAGATGTCCACCCAGCCCTTCAAGCAGCCAGGTAGCGCCTGGCATGACACTTGGGCAAGCTGACCCCAGCTGCAGAATCCTTCTTCAGGGAGCTGAACACTGCGCTGTAGGACATTTCCAATAATTATCTGTCTGGTCCTCAAACCAAATTTATAGAAAAAGCAAATATACACTCTTCTTGTAAAACCCTGCTCCTTGTGACTATTATTATTATTTTTTTTTTGATCAGTGACAAGTATGGTTGGTTATAGGCTGCAGAGGTATCATCTGGACATTGCTCTCTCCCTCTCTCCTTCTTATTAATCATGATTTTTCTTTTCCTTCCCTACCCCCTAGTGTCCCATGGACCAGGTGTGAACCTAGCTTAGTCGTGTGACCTGGAAAACTTTCTTCCCCAGAATAGTGCTTGGTGTTCTCATCTGTGAAGTGAAAATGCACAACTTTCAGATCTGTTGCGAAAATTTAATAATACTATGTTTACCAAATGCTCAACATACATTAGGTTACTTTTACCTTCTAGCTAAGCTGAATGCCTCACTGATGTCCAATAATGTTCAGCCTTTCCCATTCCTACCTCCATTATCTTCAAACTTGTCCTTTGCTTTCTCTAACCCCCATTTCTATCTTTCAAATCAGACACATCCTTCACTGACCATCTTCCACAGGGAGGATGCTTGTTTCCTCTGAACTACAAATTATTCTAGTATATTGTTTCAAAACTCACGAGGCACCTGACATTACAATTGCACACTCTATTTTTTCACATGTCAGCTCTTTTCATAAATTTTCATGTTAATCTTTTTTACTCAATAACTGGTCTTCAAATAGGTGAAGAGAATGGTCAAGTAACCAGTTAACCAAGGACTAATGTCTGGACCTCGTACAGACCAAAGGAGTGACTAAAATATGATGGGATGATTTAAACAGAGTAAGACACCAAAGGCACTTCATATTTTGTGTGCTGATTTTTTTAATGAACATCTTATAATCTTACAAAATAACTGGCTATAGCTGTTTTACGTTACAATACAGTAGATCAGCTCCTTTCACTATATTTCCAATCAAACTATCCCCTGGGGTGCTCACTGACACACTCAATATGATCACACAGAACAGAAGTGCCAAGTCCGATGCTTGTGATGGAGAAAAGGGAAGGAGACGACCAAAACACAGCTTTTTACTTCTTTCCTTTTTTTGCCGGTATCTACCCGTTCTCCTCATGGAGACCCCTCTTCTGTATCTCTTTGGAGGCTGTCATGCCAGTCAGTAGGGTCAGCCACACCCAGGCAACATGAACACCAGAGCCCCTACTTATCAGGAAAAAGAAGAGACAAAAGTGGTTGGGAATGAAGAGACAGACAGAGGAGCCCCTGGGAAAGGCCCTCACTGACTCCATGAGTGGGAAAGAGCAGGAGAATGCAAATCACCACATGGAACAAGTGTGAGCTGCTGCCTTTGGAATCTGTGACCACAGTGTCTTACTCCTTTGACTTTGTGAGTAACTTGAGTTCCTCACAACACTAGGAATTGGGGACAAGGACTGGAAGAACATGGCACCTACAAATGTCCACAGCTGACTACAGCTGGGTGGCTCTCAGCCTAATGGGCTTTCCCCACACAACAAGAACTGCCCTCTCACCTTTTCCTGGGTAGTTGTGAACTGCACATGTTGTTAATAGAGTGAAAAATATTTTAAAATGAAATATGACTCAGGAATGTGGTCATTATTACTCTTATGGAGAGACTGAACAGAGAGACACACATGGGCATCAACCGCTGGTTCCATGTTCTGTGGAGGCTGCAGCTTCCTGAGCTGGGCAATGTCTAGGATAGCTCTTCTTCTCCCTCAATTGGGGGCAGGATTGCCCAAGGCAGAGCTTGAAACATGCCCAGGAATTTGGATCTGTTCCCCAAGAAAACAATTTTACAATGTGTTTTTTCATCTTTGTTTTTTGAAAAAATAGAGAATCTAAACTTTTCCACTGTCCTTTCCATTTTAAGTCCTAGTAGGTTCCCATAAATAAATGTTTCTTGTCTGTCCTAGGGCCAGTAAATGTGACCCAGACAATGAATGTTATTTAGGCTATAGTTTCCCCTACGACCAGACCATATAGAGGGTAAGAAATTTCAGTTGGGCAAACTCTGCTCTGCTCTTTCCCCACCCAGTGACTTTGCTGTCCTCATTCCAAGTACAGATAAAAAGGTGTATGAACCATATGTTTGTAATTTAATTCTAGAATAATGTTTTTCCTACATAATAGTGTGGGTACTATTTTGTTGGGAATGAATAACATTTTGTTTTCCTTCTTGCTTCCATGTTGAAGGGAAGAGTAGAAAAAATAGTCAGAGCAAAGAGCAGATGACATGGACAGTGTGCAGCTGAGCTCTGTTTTTCCTGCTCTTGTTTTCAATTGGAGAATTAACTTTGAAGAAAATGAGGCTTGTTGGCCCTTCATAAGATGATCAGACAGGGCATCAAAAAAAATTGGATCCTTTCTTTTTTCACCTAAGGCCTAATCCAGAAACTTATAGGAAAACTACAATAAGACCTCATGCAAAAAATAAAAACAGGCGTAGGACGTAAAGAGAGGCGGGGTTAATGTGGTCATTTCATGTGCAGTCCATCTCCTGAACAAGAGAGGGTAAAGATAACAAGATGGATCCTAAACAGTTGAAATTCTTCTCTCTTCCCACAGAGTGTCACCCTTGCTCCATGTGTTGCCATAGCTTGCCCAAAGTGAACAATCTGGGTCAGATTGTATGCATTACTCTTGCATAGAATTCAACTCAGATGTTGCATTGCTCAAAGGATCCACTTTGGTCTTCTTTGGAGACTTGGACTTGAACCTCCTGGACTCATGCTATCCTCTTTCTCAGCCGTGATTTATCCCTGAACCGTACCTCTCTGTGACCTCTTTTGGCTGCTCCATCCTGCTTATTCTTTCATCTCCTCTCACCTTCTCCTGTATCATTTCCAAAACATTATTCCCCAGAAAATAAACAACTGGAGATGTGGTTGTGACTGATGGCCAGAGACCACAGCCCAACTGTGAAGAATATGTTAGCCCCCATGATACAGGTACTCAGAAGATGAATCCTCATGCAAACTTGTTGAATGACTGAGGGGCTGACAGCCATGCTTGGGATAGGTACAGATGGGAGTGGAAGAAATACTGGGTCTCACTAACTCTAACTGAGAGTTCTGAGAAGTATGGAGAAGCTAATAAATTCTTTTGATGGATATTAAAAAATCACTGTCTAGTTTTTCTGGACCCATTAGCCATGGGCACTAACAGCAAGCTTTCTGTGTTTCTTGGTATTATCATTCCAACTGCCATCTCCTTCGAGTGGCCCTGGTCCCCACGTCATAAAGATAATTGGTGGACATGTTAGCACCCAGAATTCCACCTTCTCTCTTCCTGGCTCTTTCTCCATTCCCATTCAGCCTGCCAATCCTTATTCATAGAAAGATGGCAGAAGAACTTGGCTTTCTGTTCTCAAAGCCTTAGCATCCATTTTGGACATGAACTTCACAGCAGCATGTGTGGAACAATGGATAATTTTTAGCTTAATAAACAGCAAAAAATATAATATATAATATATTTATATAATTATGTTTAAATACTTATAAAGAATTAATAACTAACCTCATTATTTAAGAGAGACTACATAAAAGAAAGGGGAAGGGCCAGATTAGAGTAGACAAGCCCTGAAAGATGACAATTCATTTGAAATGGTTATTAACAGAATGTCCCTGGAAACTTCTCTTCTAGTATTTTGATAATGGTTTACACACTGGATGAGGCTGAGTAGTTGATAAGGTACAGAATGGGGAGTAGCACGAGAGTTAAGGATGGGGCTGGGCAGAATCTAGATGGAGAGTCCTTGTTTATCTATCACATTTCTCCTTCCTCTGTTCATCACCTGCCACATTAAAGAAGCTTTTGCCTATCATTCTTCCCTATTTGAGTGACTGGATGCAATTGTTGGCATCTAAAAATATACTCTCGCATTTCTGAAAAGATCCTTCACACTCTCTACTTCCTGCATTTCATGACCTTTCTTCTTTCTTCGCCCTCTGTCTCCCTCCATGGAAGCTTCTCTCTCGGACTGCCTCCAGGGCAGAGGAGGGAGGAGCCCAGCCCACAGTTACTGATTTTCTTCTGCCTTAGGGTCCCGGCAGGTGCATTCATCCTGGTCACAGTCAGCAGCAAATGGAGTTACCTAGAGGAATGGAAGAGAAGGTGAAATAACCCATTTTTAGCAACAAGCTTCACAATTTTCAACCACCTTTCACTTTTCTCACTTGGTCCAGGAGGAAGTGAAGGATTATCTTAGATTTGAAGTTAACACTGGGCACTCTCACACACCTTGCCATTTTGGGCAAGAGAATCCTTTCTTGCTTTACTTTCTTTGTAAATAGTGAGAAAGACAACAGTGACTACTTCCAGAGAGTGTTTGTGTGGTTTCAATACATTGATGGGTATAAGACCTTACATTGCCAGATACCTGTAACTACCGTTAGGAGTACTTCAGCTATCATTATTTCTGTTGTTGTTTTCATCTTTATGAAATTCCTGCTCTGAAATGTTTCTTTGTACAGGGAAGGCGAAAGGCCAAAGGTTGAAATTTAACCCAGGGTAATGACAGTACTGTATAAAAAGCCAAGACTTTAAGGCATAGCTTTTTTTAATTTTTTTATTTTTTCAGTACAGAGGATCAAACTTAGGACCTTGTGCTTGTGAGGCAGGCATAGTGCCACTGAGGTAAATCGCCAGCCCTATGGCATAGCTTTTTGATTCCTCCTCCCTCTGTGCTTGGGATAGTAGGATCATCTTTGATATCTTCAAAAGCATGAGGTTTTACCTTGGTGAGATAATGCATCTGTCATCCATTGTTTGTAGCTCTCTTACTTTTCTTCTATGTAAAATGCCTTTCCCATGCCAGAGATGGCCCAGCAACAGTTGCTATCTTCCAGCTTATATTGATCCCCCAAATAAGTACTACTTCTTATTTGATCATAACCAGCATCAAGGAGAATTTGGCATTTTGGAAAAATAATATAAAAGTGACAAAGCTTCTACCCTTTGGCCATTGTCATCCAAAAGAGCTAAAAATAAATAGGCACATCACACACAGCAATTCTCCGACTACGATGAAGAGACAGATGGGCTTGGCGACTGGGCAAGTGGGTTGGAGAATGGGTGGGGTTGTTTGGGAAAAGTTCCCAGCATATTGGCACAGATGAAGTAACATGACTTAGTCATCAACAGAGTGGTGACGTCCCCTTACAATCTTAATTCTTGTGTATGTTGGCCACAAGCACTGACAATCGCTAAAGATCAATCCCAGGTTTGTGGTGTAAGATGGGGAGACAAATGCTTGCTTTCTTCCTAAGTAATCCTGTCTCCTTTTGTAGAGATGAGTTTCTTGACCAGTTGGTTTCACAAGTAAGACTAGAAACTAGCTGGCCTGATTTCTGACCTGTGGTCCAAGCTCTGGAACTGCTTCTCCTAGTTCAGGATTTATTGGTTTTCAGAGCAAAATAGGGCCAAATTGAACAGGAATATAATGAACTCCTAAGTGCACTGCATTAAATAAGTTAACCCATGTAAGTGGTGAGAATAATCCCCAGTACATAGTGAATGATCAGTTAAGTATTAGCAAGAAAGAGATGTAGTATTCAGGTCACTGTCTCGGTGATCACAGTAGGCATGGTTTTATTGTGTAGACTCCTACGGGGAAGGAAATAACATCTGCTATTTCTGATTCATCAAATCGGCCAACTAATTTCAAATACCTTTGGAGTACTTGGATTTTTACCCATATTATTACAAAACTTTAGCCTATTCAATTTTACAGGTTCTACTTGAGCCTATCTGCTAATTTAAGGAGCCAAGAATAATAGGGATAAAAAATATCAAGAAAAGGATTACTGCTCAGGACGTGGTCCAAAGAGTGCTCCAGGTGGCTTGTGGTTGTCATTTGAAATGTGGCCACAATATATTTATAAGACAGTGTAAAAGACTATTGGATTCTGAGGATGGATAATAACTGGGTAGCATTTTATTGGTGATCCACAGTCCTCAAGGAGGTGGAGACAGTTATTTTCCCTGTCTACAGAGAAGTTTCTTGGACAATCATAAGCAGGTATGAGGCTTTCAGTAGAAAAAAAGCCATTGCTTCTCTGATGGACTGACAACTTAAGACACCAGCATTTCCTAAGAACCTGTGCTACATACCAATACTCTTAATTCCGCCCCTTAACAATCTCCAATTATACTTCGTTCTTCCTCTCTCTGGGCCAAGAAGCAAGTGTGACGCACCATGAAGGGGCGCTAGTCAAAGAGCCTGCCTCAAGTCCTGAAGCTACTGCCTCTCCCCTTTCCCCGGGACCCTCACTTACCTTCTTGGAGGAGCTCGTGGAAGAGCAGCAGTCTCCCCCATCGTAGCTGCAGTACGCGCGGTTGTTAATAGTGTCACACCAGCCATCTGCCTGGAAAGGCTGCAAGGGGGCTGGAGTCAGTGCCTCGGGGCAGCTTCTTTCCGCCTCACCCTACCTACTCCCCCACTCACTCACCCCAACCCACTCACCAAACACTGAGGGGATTATGGGTGTTGACCTAAGGGACAGGATACATTCTCAAGAAGTTGAAAATTTTAAGATAAAACCACTAGTCCTAAGGGTTTGTCAAATTTTGCTTGCAGCACCTGATCCTGGCCTACTCTAAGGGTCAGAATGAGTACCAAATGGATGGATCAAAATGTTTTGCCTTCTTGTAATAAGAGGTTTTAATAGTACATAGGTTACAGTCAGTTTCACACATTTAAACTCTGTTGGCTATGAGAGAAAAAAACATTTGTATTAGGCAATATTGGCAATTTTTTAGGTTTTTTTTTTTGAGACAGGGTCTCACTGTGTAGTTTAGGTTGGCCTCAAACTCACAGCAATCCTCTTTCCTCAGCTTCCTGAGTCCTGGGATTACAGGCATGCACCACCATGCATGCCTAGCAGAATTGGCTTTCACCATCCCAATTTATCAGTGGGTAAACCGAGATGCATAGATATGACAAGTCACATAGCCAGCGTCACACAGAGTTTGGTATTAGCTCTCACCTATCCTGGCTTTATGAGCTTCTCAGAAACTACATCCTCCAGCCCTTCTCCTGGTGCACTCATGACTAGCACTTAGAGACCCTAGCACTGCAGTCCTTGTTGTGCTGTGAAGACTCAAGTGATGTCTGTCCAAAGTGCAGTGATACTAGGGTTGAGCCCAGGAGTGCTGGAATAGAAATATTTCCATGTGTGCAGCTACCTGATGCACAGCAGCTAAACCTGGGGTCAGAGCACATACAGCTAAACTACTTCCATCTACTCTTACTTCTGCAAGTTAACAGGAACCAAAATGGGAAAGGGGCCCAGAAGAAACCAGAGTTAATGGAGTGTTTCACCCCAAAAAGGAATGTGTGATAAGAACAGCAACAAGTGGTTGAAAAATAGCTCAAGAGCCTAATGCTTTGTTTCTGCAGAGAACTAGCTGTGGAGCAAAACATTGTCCCACAGCATCCTGGGAGGTCCATCGGCACCCTCTCCTCCCACCCTGTACCACACTCAATAACATTGGCTTCCCACTATCCTGAGCTAATGCCCAAATGTAAAGCCTTTGAAAACATCTCACAGAGAAACTCCTGGGGTCCCAGAACTCTATAGTTCTGAGATCACATTCCAGTTTATTTGTTAACATCACTTTTTCTGTCCCCACCCTCTTTAAATGTTAAAGGGAAGACTATTCCCTATTTCACTGTGCTTTGATGAGATGGATAACTCAACTCAAAAATGAACATGAAATAATTTTCTGCAATTGAGTTACGTCAGAACGAGCTCATCCAAGTTATTACTTCAATGTTTTGATTTATTCTATGGGGTCCTGAGGTCATTTGAACACCTCATTCCAGATGTATACCAGTTTGGCAACCACGGAAAAGCTGCTACTTGTGGGGTGGAACTCAACAGCTGTCGCACAGCTGCACAGCCATGTCAGTTGAGAGCAGGAAGTGAAAATGAATTCTGTTTTCAACACAGGCCTGACTGGGATAAAAGACAAAGATTCTAGGATGAGTATTAGTCTTTAACACAGTTAAAGACAGTTACTCTGGCTCTAGCGAACTTGGAACAATCAGGACTTGGGTTCAAAATTGCCATCAAATAATTCCCATCAAAACACAACTCAGGAATCCTTAGCACCTTTAGATGCTCTTGGGTCCTCCCACGGAGGATCAGAAACATCTAGCAAGGTTCCCTAGTTTTCTCCTTCTTCTTCAAGTATTTGGAGCACATTTTATTCATCCCACTCTACATCTGTTGCTTTCCCTCCAAACTTGACTGACTCATTGGCAAAACTTAATCTGTTCCTTTTTTCTTTTCCACTTAATTGTCTATAAAAATCCATAGAGCATCCAAAGCACTTTTCCTACATATATAAATGTGCTCTCATAATGTAGAAATAAGGTAGGGATAATGTTATCTTCCTTTTCATAAGAATGACCTACACTTTTGAATGGATATGGCAAACAGTCCTGAGAAATCTTTGCAATGTCTTCAGCATGTATGGCTTCTCACTCAAGAACACAACTGTGGATATGTTGGAAAATTAGTGACCTGACACCCTGTGATCTTCACTAAGTCCCACGAGGCTTTGACTGCAATGATTCCAATGATTTCTAGAAGCACCTTCTTTTCTGGGATTAAAAGTTCAACTGGGTAGAGAAGGGAATTTATAATAAAGATAGGAAAAGCCCAAGTGTTTAATGTACAATATACCTATTAGATTTAATTGCTCCTCCCCCAACCTGCCAAAAACAACCACTCCACCCTCAACAAACAGAGTTTCCTATGGCAACAAACATGTGCCTGGAAAGCTTGACAGCTTCAGTCCAAAGTTACAATGGAAAAAAATAGAAAGGGAAAACTAATTGATCCAAAGTTTGAAAGCATTTGAAAACTCAGTGTAGAGTAGGATATATTAACCTCAACAACTGAAGGTATCAGACTGGGGACAACATTCCTCCTGCAGGAAACTTTCTCAAGGGAGGGCACTGGGCTTGGTCTCTAGGCAAGCTATTCATGTGGCTGATTTCACCACCCATACACACATACACACTTGCTGTTTAATCCACAACATCAGAAAACAACGTGTTTCACATAGTGCATTTTTCAAATATCTGAAGCTTATTCTTTTAAGGGTCACTTTTTATTGACATTTTAGTAGTTTTGATAAAAGGAAAAGCTTTTAGAAAATGCCTGTTTATCTGCCTTTTATCTACTTACTGAACACAAAGTCATTAGCATGAAATTTATTGTCTTAACTGTGAGGGAAGGCTCTCCCCTTTACTAAATGTGCCTCTTGTTTACACACATGCGCACACACACATACACACACAGTCTCTCTCTCTCTTTCTTTTTCTGACTAATCTTTGAGATAGAAATCCGAGCCTTAGAAACATAGCTAAAGTAAATATCAGGATATGACAAAGAGAGAGCCTGGGTTACTCTTCTGATGATGTATGAGCTTTATGATCCCTAATTAGTTGTTACAAGGTTGGTCATGCCAGCCTCCTGGTGTTCAATGTATTCCAGAAAGTTTAAATGGTCATGCAAAGAGATGTTTGCAAATGATGCAACACTAAGAGGAAAGGTAGTCCATCTGTACTACCTTCACCACTTTGAAAATTTCCTAAAGGTGCACATTATTTCTTTTCTTTTTTTGGTGCTAGGGTATGAACTCGGGTCCTTGTGCTTTCGAGGCAAGCAGTGGAACCACTGAGCTACATCCCTGGCCCCCTTTTTAATATATTCTGCCTTTATCTCAGGAGAGGGTTCTTTAAAGTAGGATGAGTTCAGCCCTCTTTAGCCAAGTGATACTTTCTGTTTTAAAATTTCTCTGCCGAGAGATAGACGGTGGCTCTTTTGGTTGTCTATTGGTTGTAGTCACTCATTCAATCACTCAACATTTTTTGTTACACACCTATGTGTTCCAGGTACTGGGATAGGGAACCAGAGATAATTAAAACATGCTTCCCACCCTTGAGGAAGCTCAGGGTAAGTAAGTTTAGCTCAATGTGATGACGCATTGCTAGGATCAAGAGGTAGACAATCCATATTTTTAAGGTGGGGGGAATCTGCTTTCAGGGGTTGGTTCCACTACATCTAGCCCCTATGGAGAAGAGCTTAGGACTGGAACATGCTGAAGGGGAGGAGTCTGAGATAACTGAGGAGAAGAACAGGATGGAATAGATAGGGGTTCCATGCTGCCTATCACAGAGCTCACCCTCAGGGTATGTTCCACAAACTATGATTGGTTGATAATACAGTATCTGCTTTACTTGAATCGGATTAAGGGCTTGTTTTTTTTCTAGACTTTTATAGTACTTGAGGCTACATTGCTGTTTTAGAAAGGCAGTTTGGATTTCAGATCTTTGCTCTTCTAACCTGCAGGTTGGGATCTGAGCCTAAAGTGAAATGCAGCAGGGCTTGGAGGGCCCTCATGGATGCTTGGTTAGCAGAACACTAAATTACTGACCAATAAGACTGAAGATAACAAATGCTGGCAATGGTATAGAGCAAAGAGAACATTTGTACATTGTTGGTAGAAATGTAAATTAGCACAACCATTGCAGAAAACAGTATGTGGTGCCACAAAAAATTAAAAGTAGAACACCATATGATCCAGCAACCCTACTACTGGATGTGTATCCAAGAGAAATGAAGTCAGTATGTTGAAGAGCATTTGTTTTTGTTTTGTGGACCATAGATACATGAAATTTTAAGATGTTAGCTTTAAAAACTATATTGTACAAAATCTGCATATTATAAATAACAAAATGGGCTTAAAAGGTGAATTGGGTTGTTGTCAAGACTAACAGTAGCAATCCTGGGAGGAGAGCCTAGATCTCTTGATCCTGATCTGAAAATATATTTTCTCTATCATAGTACTATTATCTGATGATTTCATTAGTTTTTTTCATTTATTGGAAACAAAGGGTAACTTTTTTTTGGTATCTCTACAAAAGGGGCTTAGGTACAGGTGCATTGATACAAAGTAAACCTAGCAATCCAACACAGAGACACCCCCCTAAATGTGTATAATCCTAACTCCCCCAGACACCCCTGCCCTGCCATCTCATTTCTCTTTTTTTTACTTGTGGGTAAAGGTTTATTCCAAATCAGCTGCCTGGCATTCCAGCTCATCTGGGGCTTGGGGCTTTGTAGACCTGGATGTCCCTGGAGACTTCCATCTCCTGGAGGAAGTAATACTCTGTTCTAGTCATATCAACAGTTGCCTGCATCCCAGACACATTTAATTCTGAGCCTTGGAGTAGCAAAGCCAGAGTTTTTCTGCTCACTGCAGTCATCTGAAGAAAGGAGGAAACAGAGTTGTTCTACTTCTCCAGTGTTTACTCCTTGGAATGGGAGGGTTCCAATGATGTCAAACTTGTGGGTTTGCT